CGGGTGGTGGCGGTCAACCACCATTCGCGAGCTTTTTTCAATGCCTATAATTCAAATTTTTTTAAAAATTCTAATACGTCCAATGATGAATAATTGTTCAACATGTTCTAATGACATTGATAATATATATGTGAAACAAATAAAAAGAATAAATATTAACAATTAAAGAGCTAATGTTCACCAAAAAATAACAGCGAAAATAGATAATTTGCTTGATTCCTATGCCCCCTTCTCCACTCATTCGATGTCTAAACCACCCGGTACCCAAAATTGGTTTATGTAGTTTAATCATAACATCCAACCCCCCCCCCCCCCCCCTAAAAAAAAAAAAAAATCTAGAAGGAGCAGTCATTTGGAAGGAGCAGTCATTTGGTGAATAAAGGTAAGGGGTATTACTTCTAGGCTACGTTTGGAAACTTGGATTTGGATCCTGGATTTAAAATCCAAGGCATTTCAAATCCAAATCTCTAGTTTGGGCCTCAAAATAGGCTGAGATTTCAAATCCATTTATTTTAAAGAGAAGATTTTGAAAACCCAAATGCACGAATTTGAAATCTCACCTTGCCCCTTCGTATTTATCAAATCCAGATCCTAACTCCTCCTCCTCTCTCCTATATCTCAGTCCCAATCCCGACTCCTCCTCTCTCTCTCTCGTTTCTCAGTCGCGATCTCGAATCTCTCTCAACGCATGTATCTCTCCTCTCTCCCCTTGGTATCTCTCCTCTCTCCCCTTCTCCTCTCTCGTCAAAACCCTAGATTTGATCTAGGGTTTCAGTCGCGATCTTAAATTTTTTGATGATTTCATTATGAATGCATTAGGGTTTCTTATCGATGTCGTCAAATGTAACACTCAGGTAATTTATTCTTTCTGTTTCTTGATTTGGCCTGTTTCGATTGCTTGGGATCCGTGGATTTGATGGTTTTGATCTGTATATTTATAATTAGCTCTTCAATTGTGATGAGCAAAAGTGCAGGAGAACATTTAACTTTAAAACAAGTATCCAACTAGCTTAAGTTTACAACAATACCAACATTTTTTTTCTCTCACTCAAGGAATTAAAGGCTGCAATCTACGAAAAATATCAATTTAAGAAACCTCTCCCTCGAATTGGATTTTGAGGGTTTAACTTGGCGTTATTGAGCCAAAATGAAAATTTTCTCCACTGTAAAAATTTTCTTGTTGACCCTATGATTTACAAAACTTATATAACTTTTCCCTTAATCATAAGGGTTAATAAGAATAGGACTCTTTGTTCTACTGTTAATGTAGCGCTTTTAGCTGAAGCAATGTCTATTTACAAGGTTTTCTTTTTTTTTCTTTTTTATTCATTCCATCTTAATAAATATTCCACACCATTTCAGTATGTGTTTTCGCTTTGACAATAACATGTAGACAAGAAATCCAAAATTGCTATATGGCTTGATTATAGTTTATGGCTTAGAAAACAAAATAATAAAAAAGCCTCAGAGCTTGGAGATTAAATTTCTCAGTCAATATATAATCTCCATACATGAATTATAAATGAAGAATGAATGCATCACAATTGAAGAGCTAATTTATGAATATATGTATATTTTTTAAGTATACATCAAAGTTACATATTTTTTTGTTGATTAAACTTGATAGGTTTGGGTATGTTTGCCTTTTAAACTGGATTATCACTCCTTTTAATGTGATAGGTTAAACATGATAAATGATGAAAGGGATTCAAGGATCCAACTTAAACATACAAGAGAAGAATTTGAGAGGAGAGAGGATGAGGAAATTATTATGGTAGTGGTTAGTTTTATAGTTGCAACCATTGGTGCTTGGTATTATACAAAGCACATGTTGAAAGAGAGTTTAAGAACACACGAAGAAGAGGATGAAAGGACATACCTTAGAAAGTCTTGGATTCGAAATCTTATTTGCAATGCAAATAACTGTGTTGAACAACTAAGGATGAATCCTCAAGCGTTTAAGAGGTTATGTGATGTTCTATGTACTAGAGGGGGATTAGTATAAACAAGACATGTCACGATTGAAGAAATTGTCGCTATGTTTTTTATCTATGCAATGTAGTTTCTGTTTATGCAGTGTGGTTAATTTAGTCAAGTGCATTACTCTGGTAATTTACTGATTTCTTTATCTGTTTGCTATTTTTGGTGAGGGCTACTTTATTATGGGATTTAGTTAAGTTTCCCCTTTTGGGTGTTTAGGATTAATTTATAACTGATCTTGTGTGACCAGGTAGTGCCTTCTAAACAAACACATTCTCTCAGGAAATACTTAATGGAAATTAAGCTGATAGTGATGGTTAAGCTTAAAGCTAGAGAAGATGTGTACTTATATGTGTGAACAAGTTTCAGCTTCCCAAGAATACATGATTATCAAGTGCTGAATCAATCAATGTTCCAGATGCAAGAATGGGTAAATGTTTTAATTTTAGCATGATACTAATTGGTTGCATTTTCTCATCTGAATTCTGTAGAGGTCATTATACATGCTCAGAACTTGTTGAGTAGATTGCTGCGGGAATCAATGAACACCGATACAATCTTAACTTTAAATGTGGATTGTGATTGCTAGACTGTTGGTTTTTGGGATCTTCCATTATGGGTGGTGTACTGTAAAATTTATAGGTAAATTGTATAACATCCGTAACTAAAGAGATTAGTGCATGTATGTGTATGTAAACCAAATCCTCACAGACATAATCTACCAGCTAGTGTTTGGGGGGTGTTTTACTACACATATATTTCTACCTGATCAATTATACGAGGTGTGTTTTTTACATTTTTGTGCTAACTGATCTTATCAGCTGGTTGGTTTTGATGTTGTCGATGAACTTAATATCTTGTATTGACCTCTGCCTCCTTTTGTATCAAGATGCTGAATTGTTTATGATGTTTTGTTTATTGTCATTTATCTATGACATGTTCATATGATCAAGTTTTCTGTGTTTGTGTTTTGGAAGTGAACTCGTAAGCTATTAGTTTTTTGCACTGCGTGATATTTAGTCGCATTTTACTTTATGCTTTGGTGTGTATGCATAGAAGTCCATGCCTTGTTTCTTTCATGCCAGTCTTATCTGTTTAATTGCAAAAGTTTCAGTTTTTTAATTATCATTTGGAATGCTCATTTTGATGCTATTTAAGATATTTGATTGCAATTGTACCATGACACTACATCTTGGCTGTTTTCTGTGGCTTTAACTAGTGCAAATTTGCTACATCTTATCTGTTTCCAAGGAGCCTCACCTTGCTGTAAACATTAATCATTCTGTGTTATTCACTTTGGTATGTATTAGGATGACAACGAAAGGGAAACAAATTGCATCTCAGTCAAGATCATATGTTGTGTGGAATCGTGATATGGACTCAGCTTTAGCCAATGTGTTGTACGATCAAATGAACAAGATCATATGTTGTGTGGAATCGTGATATGGACTCAGCTTTAGCCAATGTGTTGTACGATCAAATGAACCAAGGATTAAAAGTCGGAATCGTGATATGGACTCAGCTTTAGCCAATGTGTTGTACGATCAAATGAACCAAGGATTAAAAGTCGACGGTACTTGGAAGCCTCAAGTGTATCAAGCTGCGGTTGATGCACTAAAATCATTTAATAGCACCTTGAACAAAGATAACGTGAAGAATCGACTCAAAATTTGGAAAACACATTTAATATGTTGGTAAATGTTCTATGTTGTGTTTCTTATAATAGCTCAGGTGTACGCCTGTATAATTGCGTTGCTGTAAACCTTTCATCGTGGTCTCTTTTGATTTGTATAACAGCAGTTGCAATCATAAGAACAAGGTAATGTTCTGTGCAAGCTATTACTCTGTGTCTTTCCTAAGCACTTTGTGTGAGTTGTTGTATCTTTACTTATACTTACAAGAATGGGCTTATCTTATTCAGTCTCACTTATCCGACATTTTGGTTTATCATCGTCAAAATTAGCTAAATTTGTGTTTTTGGTTACTATTTTATACATCTCTATTGCATTTGACGTAAACAAGACGGGTTAAGAGAATAAATTTTTATCAATTTTAAATTCAAATTCATGTATAATAAAATACCCAAACACTAGATTTTGAAATCAAAGATTTCAAATCCTTTCATTTAATAAAGATATCCAAACAAAAAATTTCTTAAATCATGGATTTCAAATCCTAAATTTAAAATCCCTTGATTTTAAATCAACTTCCCAAATCCAAATCAAAGTTCCCAAATGCAGCTCTAAGGAGGAAATATTATTAGCAAAAAAGGGGATGAGTCGGAGGCGGCGACGAGAATATACCTTGATCAAAATTGGAGACGGCTACTCGGAGGTGGCGGCAGCGACCGGAGGCAACGACGAGGAGGCGGCAACGGCGACCAGGAGATAGTTTCAGGCGACCGTAGAGGCTGGAAGTGGCGGACGTGGTTAGGCTGTTAGAGCCAACCCTACTCAGCAGGGTGCGACGCAGGAGGCGGCTGCGACGACGAGTCAAGGCGCAGCGACGAATCGGAGGTGACGTTTCGGAGTGGGCGGCAGACGTTTCGTTAAGGGGCAGCGACGAACCGGGAGGTGCAGCGACGATGTGAGGGGCAAGCTGCGACTACTAGGAGGTGCTAGCGACGGCTGGAAGGCGACTGTTGATGACAAGTCGGAGGTGGCAACGGCTGAATCCGAGGCCACGCGATTCGAAGTTTGCGGCAACGGCCGTTAAGAGTTAAGGGGGAGAAAAGGGGATCGGCTTGGGTTTGGGGGAAAAAGAAGTCACGGGATCTCAAAACACTTTTTTGGTGTTTTGAGAATAACGTTTATTTTTTGGGTTTTGTAAAGGGTCAGCCCAAAAAAACATCACGTTCACCAAACACGTTTCATTGTTTTTTTGACAAAAAAACGAAAACGACAAAAGCGTCTCAGTTGCCAAACGCTCCCTATATTATCATAATTCCTAGTGTTACATGTCTTCAACTGTATACGCATGCCTCGTCTTGTCAACATGGACACATCTAACACATGCATAACTATTAAAATAACTTTAAAAGTGCTCAACTTTATAATTTGTTAAACCTAGAAAGCAGTGGATCAAGCATCGGTACCATGACCCAAGTGTGCCATGAAGCTGGTAACATTGATCCTGACCAATCAAGAAATAAAGATGAAAATTGTGGGCTTTTAAAACCTCACTTAAGAGCAAAAGCACCATCTCATAGTTGTAGCTTAGTGGAAACCCTCTTTGCAGAGGGCATGAGGTATAGGCCGTATAGGTTTCACAGCCTGCTTGAACAAGGATACGAGTTAATATAAAGAAGGAAACATTAGTTAAGGTGTCAAGTTTTTATCTACTATGTCAACCTGACCTGCCTAACCTTGACTGGCCAAAAAATGAGGTACTAGGTTGATCTGCCTAACCTCAACTTGCAAAAATATGAGGTATCTAGTATGTCCATCCTATGAAGCACGGATACTCCCCCGGAGGTCACGAATCCGTGTCTGACACGAATCAGACACGGATTCGTGCACGACACGTGCAAGACACGTGTCGGACACGGTCAATCCGTGTCCGACACGGGTCAACGGTCAAACCAAGGGGGGACACGGTCAAGGACGGCTAAACACGGCTTGGATTCGCGGAACAAAAAAAAACGCCAAAGACAACCCGAAACCCAAACCCAAAAGGCCAAAACTAAACCCTAATGTTTACTTACCTCAGTCCCGCCGCTCTCTCACTCGTCTTCATCCATCGATCTCTTCTATCGGACGTCGCCGCTAGTCCTCTCGTCCCGCCGCCGCTGCTCGTCCTCGTCTTCTCTCAGTCTCAGATCTCGTCCTCTTCTCCTCCCGTCATCCTCGATCTCGTCCTCTTCTCCACCCATCGTTTTTCTTTTTTTTATAGTTCTTTTTGGAACTTTAGCAGTCCCGATCTCTGTTTTTAACCCCACTGTCGTTTGCTCTCCTTTATTTCTCTCTCTTTGAATAGTCTCTTGACTAACTCGTTTTTCTAGGGTTACTAAATACTTTTACGGCTTAGTAGCCCATATTTTTAGGCTATTAATACTTTACTGTGATACTAATTCATTTTTAGGGTTATTAAATATTCTTACAGCTATTGCTCTAATTTAATAATGCAGATTTTGACTAGTACTCATCTTCCTAGGTACATCACTTATTTCTACGGCTGTATTTTAAACTTCAATACTGTAGGCTCATATTCCGGAAGACAGTAATGACTTTACCAGCTATCTTTTCTAACTTCACTAGTGCATGCGTCTGCCCAACTTGTTAGAAGACTACTTTTTAACCATCCTTAATAGTTAATACACTGGTGCCTTAATTTCTTATAAAATATTCAGTTACTTTTTATTAGAGTTTAGAAGTGAGAAATGACAACTTATATATATGTTTGAATAATTGAATGCTTGACTGGTTTTTAATTAATAATATGATTGTTGAAATGTTAACTAACTTACAAAGAGAGATTTAAGGACTAATTGCTTGCTTCTTATTAATACATATCAGTCATAATTATTGAAAATGTGCTAGTATTTGATTTCATGTGCGAGACTGCGACTGCGAGTATTGATTCTTGCTATTTGAGCTAGGTGTAGTGCTACTAGTTAACTTGAAAATTGAAACTTGATTCGCCATTTGTAACCTAACCTGTAAAGAAGGAAAATTTAATTTAGTAATATAGTTATTAGTGATGCAATATACTAGTATGAAAGTTTGAATTTTATAAATTTTTCTATATATAATAATAATTTAAAAAAATTCCTTGCCGTATCCCCGTATCCTATTTTTTTAGGTTTTGCCGTATCCCGTATCCGTGTCCGTGTCATATCCGTGTCCCGTATCCGTATCCGTGCATCATAGTGTCCATCTGCCCAACCTCGACTGGCCAAAATATGAGGATAGGATTATATATAATTCTCTAATGGCGCTTTGCTCAAAATTGATGATACTAAAACCATTCAGTCATTATAAAAATTTACGTAACCCAAAATATTTGGCTAATGTTGAAAGAAGCATATCAGTGGGTAAATTATGGTGGATAAGGGGTTCACCAAGCTGAATAACATTAGCCAAGCAACGATGATCTACTAGGAAAACAGCTAAGTTAGTGGTGCAAACTCAAGTTCAGTTAAGTATCCGAGTAGTCATCAGAAGTTTTGGAAAAGAAATGACAACGACAACAATCAAAAACATGTCATCAATATATAACAGGTAAAACACCACGAGAGATCTACGGCTGCCAACTGGGATAGTTCCAAAGTAAGAGAGTGGGACCCATGAAACTACAAAAGTTATTTTGCAAAACAAAGGAGCAAAGGATGAAATAGATAGAAGGTAGATTTGAAGAGTTTGCGTAAGGTAGAAACCAGAGGAAAGCTCAAGGTTAAAAAAGGAAAATGGGGAAAAAAAGTCTTTGTTTCCTTCTCTGATTTCTTGCTCCTATCTGTACTGTCTTTTTTCCCCCATCAAGCAGGTCAATAAATTGAACAAGGCTGAGACAAGGCAGATCAAACACGTTCCAGGAAAATATAAGTTGAAAACTGACAATTCTTTGTCACACTACAACTCGCAAGAAGCATACTAAGTAGAGATATATGACACTGGCAAAGGATGTCCTTGTTTAGCTCAAGAAACATGAAGAATGTCAGATAGGGATAAAGCAGACATATGCTTCCTACTCTTACAAAATTATGATCGCCTTCAGGAGCTACCGTACATCCAGATTACTATTTGCCTATTGGCATCTACAATAACACTGATAACCAAATTCCAGCACTCCTAGGTACATAGCAATTTAACCCCCTTCATTCTAGACTTCTAGCAACATAAGATCCAATCTCAGTTGATCAATATTCTGGATACATAGTAGTCCCAAGTCCTAATTAATCAAAGTCAAAAATCAAAATATAGGTGACGACAGCCCTGTACCTGAGGCCTATTAGCTAGATTCAAACCAAAGCCAGCCGAAAATTTTACCTGTACAATTGATCAATGAATAACAAAATTAACATATATCTAGAGATTCAATTATATGGATCAGCCTAAATTCCCCTACATTGGAAGAATCAGCCTATAGATTTTCCACCACAAGGGTCTGAAGCCTTTACCATGATGCTTTGGACCAAGGGTCTAATGAAAGTACGAAGGTTACCTCACAACGATGTAAGAATAATGGAGTATACAGAAAGTGGTTGAAGATATATGAGAGCAGAAGTCAGAAGAAAGATCAATGTGGGAGGAGATATCTTTCTTTCCTTTCGTTTATGTGCTACCCCTTTTCCCAAAGATCAATCAAACGAATGGGAACACGAGGCTTCAGATCAATTCTGAGATTTGGTAGATTTCTTCATTTAGTTAAGAAACTGAGCAGAAAATGAGATACCTATTAATCTAACTTGAAAAATGTTTCCTCCTCATGATTTATTTTCAGCCCAATTGCTAACACAGTTCCTGTCATTCCATAACTCGCTTTCATAACCAAATTCTGAAAGATCTCCATTGAATAACAAATTAATCCTACCTTTGATTGCAAAGAAACCATCATAAACCATCTAACCCTAGCTGAATGGTGGTTCACCATAACCTAATTATTGCACTCAAAAAGCTTCATGGATAATTCGCACATCCTAGGCTATTTTATACAAAACCACTCCATACTAATTAGTATAGCTAACCAAAAAGAAGAAGTCATAAGTAGAGGTTCAGTCATTAGCATTGATCACATCAGTTATGACGAAAGCAGACTGTTATGTTTTTTAATAACCATAATCAGATAAAGAATGGAGACAGTAAAAGAGCTAGAGAAGATACATGATTGCCATTGTTAGTAAAATTTTTCTGGGGTCCGTCCTAGATGATCTTTGCTGCCGTACACGTCCTTCCGTAGCATCATCTAGGTTAATTCTATCTTTGCGTGGAGGTGCTGTCACGGGTAGGGTCGGCAATGCACTAGACCAGAATGGCAGCAAGAACCTCAAGAACTTGTGACGGAGGGAACCTGCATTTACAATTTGTGTTATTTATTAGTATGTGACCTTCCATGGTAACCCATGTCAAATCAGCATGCGGTATCAAATTTTTTAATAATATGGAGGTTTCTATAGCATTTCATGCATCGTTAGCATGTCATGCAAATATTTTGCACAGAGAGAGCCTTGTTCATATAAAACTAATCAGAAATGACACAGTCCATATCAACTGTTACGTTCTTTAGACAGATAAAACAGTGACAAACTTTGGCAATGAAGTAGATATGATTCAATGGCACAAATGCCTTATTCTAACACGAATTGGAGTAGAGGCCATGGGAAAGTGTTAAGTTCCAAATGCGAATAGAGCTAGCAATCGGGCCGGGCCCAAGCCCGAACCCGCTCCAAAGGCAGGGTGGGTTAGGCAAAGGGTCCAAAACCAGGGATCAAACCCAGGCCGGGCCCGAACCAAGCCCAAATTTTGCCTGCTGCCCAAAGGCCCCAAACTAATTTTGGCTCAATTAGTTTGGCCTGTAAAAAAAATATAGCAGCCCATTGAATGGGCATAGTAATTTGGCCTAAAAAATTAGCCAAATAAAAATTTAAAAAAAACATTATAAGTGGGTCTGGCCTGCTGGCCAGGCCCACTAAACTCAATCGGTCAACCGACTGGCACTAAAAAGTGGCCGACAAGCCCATCCCTCAATGGGCGAAAATTCAACTGTTGAGATGTCAACGGCTGAATTTTCGCCCGTTGGGAAACGGGCAGAGAGCCCACAACATTGGGCTTTGGGTTTTTTGGGCCTCTTGTAATAAAAAAAAAAGTTAAAAAAATCCTATAAATACCCCTCTAACCCCTCACTTCATCCTCTCAACAATCTTCTCCTCCTATTCCCTTCTCATAACATTCAAAACTTTTTGAACTCTCAGGTTTTCATTTCTCAAGTCAAGTTCTCAATTCAAGTTTCTCAAAAATCTTCTTCTCAGAAACTTCTCAAAAACATACTGGATCATTTATATTCTCCTACAGCTTCTATCGGTTCTGGAGGACAACACGTCAATGAGATTTCTCTAGTGTCAACTTCACCAACATAACAAACCACTTCGGCTCCAACACCTACTACTCAATCACAAGTTCAGACAATGATAAGAGGCAAAAAAAGGCAGGGTTATGGGAGCACTTCAAAACGAAAGGTGAAGGTAACAATAGAGTAGGCAGTTGTAATACTTGCTCAAAGAAAATTAAAATGCCCTCAAAAAGATGGTCCCAAACTTTAATGAGATATTTTACAACTCATGCTGAAAGGGGAAAAAACACGAGCACAAGTTAGTACACCGGGGGAAACGTTATCTACTTGAAAATATAAATATGAAACAAAATGAAAGTACATAACTGTAGGTGAGCATGCATTTTCTAAAGCTGAAAGTTTAGTTCTTAAAGAATTTGTTCAAAAAGCACTCTAACCTAATAAACGTGTTCCTAGACACACTATAAAAAGAGAAATTTAGTGCATTTATGATGAAAGAAAAAGTTGTTTTAATTGCTAAATTATCATCTATTTTAAGTAAAGTTTTATTAACTTCTAATATTTGGACTTAGTACTAACATTCATTCTTATATGTGTATAACTACTCATTGGATAGATAATGATTGGATAGTGAAAACAAATAAAAATTATTGCTCTTGAACGTCTCCCCCCTCCTCATAATGTCGATGGTATTTCTACTAACATTTTAAATACTTAAAATGAGTATGATATAATAAAGAAGATCATACTATTTCATTTGCTAATGCTTTTAAGAATATTGCTACAAAACCTCAACTTGAATCATCTATGTATCTTGTTTTAAATGAAGATTTTTTCATGTTCGGTGTGTGCGCCACATATTTAATCTTTGTGTGCAAAAGTGGATTTCATCCTATAGAACAAGCTATTAAAGAGATTAGAATTGCTTAGAACATATTAAATGTGGTGGTGTTAAGGGTCAAAGATTTGACGAACTATGCTCTACATTGTGTAACTCGTTGGAATTCTACTTATAAATGTTAAGCACACGCATTCCATATAGACAACCAATTTAATTATATCTTAGCAGTGCAGTAGGGCCACACTCATCTCTTATTATGACTAATGATGAATGGTTACAAGTTTCATCAATTGTTAATATTTTAGGCTCATTTGAAGAAGCAACTAGAAAATTATCTAGTAGTCATTATCCAACTACAAACCTTATTTTAGAGCACAATTGCTCACATGTTTGCTACATATTGACGTGACCCATTCTTATCAAAAATTACTGAGAAAAGGGAAGAAAATTTTAATAAATATTTTGAAGATCTACCTTTACTTTATAGTTTTGCTCTAATAATAGATCTAAGAAAAAATGGATGGTTGTGAAAATACAATTCACTCTATAAAATCAGATATAAACAGTAGAGAATTGAGAGTAGATCAATATATGCAAAATGTCAAGGATAAATTATATCACTTGTATGCAAGTTATTTTGGAGCCTCTGCCTAGAACTCACACTTCGACTTCACAATCTTCATCTATAGTATCTCAATCTCATGGATTTCAAACCTTAATGAGACAGAAAAGAACCTCACAAGATGTAAATGAACTTGGTTTTTATCTAGACTGCTTAGATGGTCCAACAAATAAAGAGGCTACTAGTTTAGATATATTAGCCTAGTGGAATGTAAAAAGTGAAACTTACACTAAGCTCTTTACTATGGCTTGTGATATACTAACCCCTCCAGCATCCACAATGGCTTCTAAGAGTGCTTTTTCTACTAGCAACAGTGTATTAAGTGAGAAGAGAACAAACTTGAGCAATGAGAGATTGAAGAGGGTGATACCATCAAGAGACCGGTGAAAGGCAAATAAACGGACTCTAGGGCTACAAGAAATTGCATATAGTGGTGAATTTGATGAAGATTTTCCACCGATAGGGGCAGCGGGTCCATCCGAACCATTCTTGAGTTAAAAGACATTTCAAATTTTAATATGTAATTTTCAAAGTATTACCGAACTAGTGCCTAGTGTTGTAATTTTCTATTTTCAATATAAAAACTTTACTTCTAGTCAATGTAAGTTGCAACTCTTCAATTTCTACATGTGACTCTTCAATTTCTAGTTTCTACAATTATGTAAAACTTTCATCAATTTATTAATAAAGTTATTCTTCTCTTTAAACTATTGTCTTTACTTTTTGCATTTAAATTTGACCAATATTATCTATAACGAATAGCGTCATGTAGCGGTGAGACACAACTAAGGCTATTTTCACCTACAGCAGCAAATAGCGCATAGTCACATAGTGATCCAATTTAAATATATATAAATATTCTAAAAATGAAATTATAAAAAAATCTAAAAATTTTACAAATGCATATTTGATGATTTATACAGATCCTAAGCATGAAACATGTGTAATAATTGCATAATATTAATAAAGTACTGTCACCAATAAACTTGAGATAAGGAAACTTTCGTATTAAGACTTCTCATTAATCAGTTTTAAACCAGTCAGAGCATTTGCTGGGTAAATATCACCAATAAACTTTATCTTGTTTCTTCATCAAGATGCATAAGCATATGCTTGCATAATCAAAATTATTAAGATTCTTCCATTAATTCTCAGGTGAAGTAATGGATCAGTTGTGACTGTTGATCAGGTAAAAATAAAAATAAAAATAAAAATCAGCAAGAAACCAATTGTGAGCTTCTTATATGCAAAAATCAATCTAATCATGTTATTTGATGAGAACATATAGGAGCTCTTTGATGTAGAAGAACTAAGGATTAAAAAGAATGACAATACATTACTCTTTGTTGCAGGCCGAGCCCAACAGAGATGGCGGAGATGGTGGATATAGCTTCCAATGTGGTGTTTCTAGTGGGGAAAGCTTCAGAGGTGGAGGGAGCCCTGGATGGCGTAGAGGTGGAGTACCGGAGGTGGTGATGATGGAGAGAGCTTCAGAGATGGTGGAGGTGGTGAAGGGAGCACTAGAGATGGTAGAGGTGGTGGAAGGAGCACCGGAGATAGGGAGGAAGCACCGAATAGAAAGGGAGAGAACCAGCTGCTAGGGTTTTTTCCCCTTTCTATGGCTACGAATGGAAGATTAGGGTGAAGGGGAGGGAGGGGGAAGGGGAAAGGGAAAGGGGGGAGGGGGAAGAGAGTCGGTATGATTTTAATGATTAAATTGGGTCATGTTGATTGAAGAGGGTGATACCATCAAGAGACCGGTGAAAGGCAAATAAACGGACTCTAGGGCTACAAGAAATTGCATATAGTGGTGAATTTGATGAAGATTTTCCACCGATAGGGGCAGCGGGTCCATCCGAACCATTCTTGAGTTAAAAGACATTTCAAATTTTAATATGTAATTTTCAAAGTATTACCGAACTAGTGCCTAGTGTTGTAATTTTCTATTTTCAATATAAAAACTTTACTTCTAGTCAATGTAAGTTGCAACTCTTCAATTTCTACATGTGACTCTTCAATTTCTAGTTTCTACAATTATGTAAAACTTTCATCAATTTATTAATAAAGTTATTCTTCTCTTTAAACTATTGTCTTTACTTTTTGCATTTAAATTTGACCAATATTATCTATAACGAATAGCGTCATGTAGCGGTGAGACACAACTAAGGCTATTTTCACCTACAGCAGCAAATAGCGCATAGTCACATAGTGATCCAATTTAAATATATATAAATATTCTAAAAATGAAATTATAAAAAAATCTAAAAATTTTACAAATGCATATTTGATGATTTATACAGATCCTAAGCATGAAACATGTGTAATAATTGCATAATATTAATAAAGTACTGTCACCAATAAACTTGAGATAAGGAAACTTTCGTATTAAGACTTCTCATTAATCAGTTTTAAACCAGTCAGAGCATTTGCTGGGTAAATATCACCAATAAACTTTATCTTGTTTCTTCATCAAGATGCATAAGCATATGCTTGCATAATCAAAATTATTAAGATTCTTCCATTAATTCTCAGGTGAAG